GGCAGGACCGGGCGGATGGGCCCGCGGGGGGGCCCTCGGTGCAGCCCCTTCCTCGTTCCCCTTGGGACTCTCCCAGCCGAGCGCGATTCGTGGCAGGCCTGAGAACCTGCAGGATAACCCATGTTCTCGGTCTGTGCTTTATTATTAAGGTTGTATCTAGTGACACGCTGAAGTTCCAAAAAGAAAAAAAAAACGTCTATTTTGGAGCTGTCAGGGTTGACCTACGATGTTTCATCTCATAGGGAGGCATCAGGAAACTAAGAGGGGAAGTAGAAAGTGACTCGTGCTTGAAAAGGCCTGTGAAAATCCTAGCACTGTCTGTGCCTCTTGGTAAGAACGTCGCCAGATTGAGTGAGAAAGCGACAAAACGAGACAAACTGTTCAGTAAAAAGAGTAGGCATGGACCCTTAGGGGTGCTTACAGGTTGGCTGTGCAGTAAAGACAATAGTCATTGAGTTAGCACAAAGCACAAAGGGTCAAGGCCACAATCTAATTAAACATGAGGTTTGTAGCCTGCTGTGTTGGTCTTGCTCGGGCTCCCTTGGTTGGTCTCTAGCAGCCGTAAGTCGCATTTAGGCAGCGTGGAAGGTGGCCCCTCTCGGAGCAAGTGGGACCAAGAGGCTCATCCAGCTGGAAGTTGCTGTGTTCTCCTGCGGAGTGCCCAGCTTGGAGCCCTGGATTTATCAGCTTTCCCTCGTCATCTTCATGGCTGTGTCACGAGTGACGTGGTTTCTCCCTGCTCCTTGTCACGTCCTGTGTGTAAAGTAGCAAGTCACTGACTATAAGCTCTCCTGTGTTGCACTCTGTGTGTATTTATTATGATTTTTAAGCTTCAAGGAAAAACTATGAAGGATACGTAACGCTGTTGTTCTCTTTCTAGCTACTCTTACCTATGACACCCTCAGGTTCGAGTATGAAGACTTCCCCGAGACCAAAGAACCCGTTTGGATACTAGGCCGAAAATACAGTGTTTTTACAGGTACTTTAAATGTGACATTCCCCCTGCCCCAGAGGGTTTTGCTAAGACTGAGTATTGTTTTCTGAGGAGCAGGGTGACTATAGATCTAGTAAGTGCAAAGCAGAGCCTGCTGGCAGAGCATGCAGACTCTAATGGCTGTGCTGCTTCTTGCCTGGCTGTCTCAGACTCAAGGTGATATTTTCCTGCAGAAAGTCACCATATATTAGCTATTGGGACTGGCAGCGTGAGGCCTGGATGGTTGAAGAAAGGGAAAATCTTGAAGGAGGGGCAAGGAAAGAGCTCGTTGCTTCAAAACCTGCCCTGTGGCTGTGGTCTCTTTTGGTTAGTTCTGGCCTTGTGGAGAAAAGAGAAAGTTTCTCTTGCACTCGATGCTCTCCTGGTTCCTCAAACAGATTTTTTGCCTCTTTAGGCAAATGGTCTCAGTGAGAAGCCAAACACCGGCGACGTGGGTGAAGGTGGTAGGAGAGATGGTTAGTCTGGCTATCCTTATATGTGCGTCCTTTGGTTTTTTGGATAAAATCTAGAGAAAGAAGAGATCCTTTTGGATGTGACCTCTCGGCTTTGGTTCACCTACAGAAAGAACTTCCCTGCCATCGGTAAGTGCTGTAGACACGTCCCGAAAGCTCAACAAGGCTCCCCTGCCTTCTGGGCTTGGCTGGGAATAAAGATGTTCAGCCCTGCAAGATGATCAGGTTTTAATGGGAAAGGAGTTACAGATGTGACAGGTGAGTGAACACTCTGCTCTCAGCTCCTGCAGGATATATGCAGATATCTCCCCTTTCATATTGTGTGTACTCCTTTTTGAAGAGAAAGCAATAGATAGAAAATACTTCTTCATGATCTTCAAAACCTGGGCAACTCCCTTTGTTTTTATGTCAGGAGTAGATAAAGTGATAGCCCTTCAGGTTCTTGGCCACGATGTACATTTTGAAAGCCATCTCTCCTGGAATGCCTTGTTTTGTTGCCCCGGGCTGCATTTCTGAGCTGTTGTTTTTATCAGGGGAAAGATAGAGAGGAAGGGACTCTTTAAGGACTATTGAGTATTTGAATTTGACAGTAATGCTAGAAAGGACACGAGAATGAGTGGAGGAACCCTACTGGAAACCTCCTTTCTTTCAGCAGCATGGGAGTACTAAAAGCAGTACTTTTAGTGCTAGTGAAGTCCCACATAAGTTTGAAGAAGACTAATTATGCTCTTTCTTGGTTTTGATGTGGCTTGAGGAGGTAAGCTAGAGAGATGATACAGAAATTGCTGCCTTAGAGCATCTGCTCTAAACTATGTTATTTATTTATTAATACCCAATATGGATGTTACACCCTAGGACTATAGCAACAGGAGGAGCATCTCCTGGTGAACATAAAGACAAACTTCTTGTCCCTGTTCTTACAGATACTGCTGCCAATTAAAAAATTAATAATAAAAGAACAACATTCCTGCACATACACTACAGGATCCTGCAGGACTGTGTGCTTTTGTGTACTGGGTGGAAGGAAGGGGAAGGGATCTGGGATGGGGTTGTGAGCGCCTTCAGCATCCCCCTGCCAGTGCCTTCCCATTCCGCCTGTGCGGAGGCAGCTCAGACCTGGAAAAGACACTTCTTGATGCTTGTTCTGGTTTGTTCTGTTCTTTCAGTCCCTGGAAAACCCTTAACCTAATAAACTTTGAAACAACTCTTTGATGCATTTTAAAGCTGTGTCTGTGAACCATAGTTAAGTGCATGTGTTTGATATTAAAGGGTTAGCTTGCATCCACAGGTTGAGGTTTCTTTTAGATGTCTTTCCTTAGAAGCTATCCAGTATTTTCAGAACTTTCCACATTGCAGATTAAAAAAAAAAAAATTCCTATATGTTATGCAGCAAAGGAAGATTCTTAAGCTTCTGCAAATCAAGACAGATTGGTCAGTGGTCCTATGCTAATTTACCAAAGCAATCTTAATTTTCAGTAGCGTAACTTGGCTTTCCCTTTTCTGCTAGACCCTCTGAGCAGGCCAGGCTCTATCCTTAAATCTTACACTCTAAGATTAAGGAATCTTATTGACTCTTGTGGATCGTTTCATACATGTAAGTGATGGTCCATCAAAGAAACTGTTTTTTGCCTCCAGAAGTTGTCAGTGTTGTAATGAGCAGCTCATTTGAGTTTGAGAGGCACCAGCTTCACGAAATCCGCGTGTCCTTTCATTTCTTGAACCTGTGTCTGTCCCTCTCATGTATTTGAGTGGAAGCAGAACTTTGCAAGTGGAGTCCATCTCTTCTTAGCACCTTCTGCAGCTGCCCACAAGGAGTGAGTTAGTAAAGGGAAAAATCTCCCTTATTTCCCATTAAGGTGTAGGCAAGGTTTGCTCATGGTAAACCACAGAAGGCAGCTGCTGATACAGAAGTTGGTGCAATAGTTCTTTGGGGGTGTTTTCTGTCCCGGTGCTCTTTGTCCAGAATGGCTGGCAGGAATTAAAAGGAGGAAAAAGCAGCTTTACAAGGAAACTCCCTCCCCGAGCCGTACTCAGCTGTGACTGTCCCTGCAGGACAGCTGTGCTCATCTCTGTGAAGCTTTTAATAACAGCCAGGCTGCCGTGGAGAAGCAGCAGCTTCCCTTTGAAGCCGTCACGGGAACGCTTTCTGCCTTGAGGCCTATGCCTCAGATTGCCAAATGTGCATTAATGCCAGCCTACATGCTAACGCTGTTTGGGTGTGGATTTTTTTTTCCTTTGTAACTCTGTGTTGTTCACTTTGACATCTCGTCTTGTTGGCAGCTGCTTGTGGTGTGGGAATTCCTTGTGACTGATGTCATTTTTCAGGGGAGCTGCCTACGTGGGATGAGCATTAGAAATGGTCTGGGCTGGACACCTCTGTTTTAAAACGTGTCCCTTATTGGAAATCTGAAACTATTCCTGAGGGCTGCTGGGCTTGCGAGGAATTCATCTCTCTAGCTGAGTTTGGATTTCCTTTCAAAGTTGTTGTCCCCCCCTACCTTGGAGTTAATTTAAGGTTTGGGGTTTTCTTTGGACGAATGTCACTATTAGTCACTGTCAACTGTATTTTTATTCCGTAGTTTAGCTATCGTAGTCCTAATTTAGGATTTCAGATTTTCCTTCTCATCGTTTTTTGCTGCAGGAGGGACCGGTCCCACGTCGGACACCGGCTGGGGCTGCATGTTGCGCTGCGGCCAGATGATCTTCGCCCAGGCCTTGGTCTGCAGGCATCTGGGCAGAGGTAAAGCAGTGCACAGTCCATAGTGCCTCCCAAAGCCAGGTGCTCCAAGAGGCACCATACTCACAAGGAAGGCGGATAACAAGGGCACAATTAGGCATTGCCAAGGGCACGGCTGGGAATTGCTGGAGGCTCTCTCTGTTTTTTACATTTTTATTTTTCCTGAATCTTCTTGGGTTCAAGGCTATTGAGAGGTCTACTGGAAACTCTCCAACATTTCTCCCTGCTATTTCTTAATCTACGCAGATAAATATAGTTTTACAGGGGAGATGAGGAGAGGAAGCAATGTGTATGCTGTAGCTCTTCTTAAGTTCCTCTCTGCCTGAGGAACTACCAGTTTCCTTTCAATTATATGAGATATTCAAATATGTGTCACATCACAATAAGGGGAAAACACCTTCATATTGCAACTTCTGGCTGCAGCAGTCTGACATACCTGCTGCAGAGTGTCAAGTATTTTCAGAATGAGTCTATATTTTGGCAAATCCTTGTCTAAGCCTTAAGATATATGGAGCCCTATGACATGCTAGCTAAATCCATTGAAGATTTAGCTAACCAAGTAACAAATTTTCATACATATATATATGCGTGTGTGTGTATATATATAATGTATGAAGTTTAAAAAACATTCTCAAAAGAACATGGGAATTAACCCTTGCTTACAGTTCAGTTTTAAACTTCTTCTGTGAAGAAGTCCTCATTTGCTGAGCATAGTGTCTTCTACCTGGATACTTCTTTTCTGAAACTTGTTAATGACCTTTGAATGAGTGCAAGATGATTTGGGGGATGAAGTCACCTGTTTTTCCACAGAATATGTAAGTTCATGTCAGTCCTGGAGAAATTCTAATCCTATTTTCTGTCTGTGGGATAACAAGGTGGAACTTTTATGTGATGACTTTCTAGGGGTGGTATTCCTTTACTTTGATTGTGAAAATATTTACTTTTCTACTGAAATTAATTCTGCAGTGTTGGGAATGCCTCAGATGCCTACTGGTAAGAGAGTGACAGGAAAATTTTGTCAAGGGTTGATGCACAGGGAAGAGAGCTTGTTGTCTCTGGCAGTCTGTGGTTGCTAATAAATAACCTATTTTCTTTCTCTTTCCCACCTTAGAGTGGAGGTGGATAAAAGGGAAGAGGCAGGTGGACAATTACTTCAACGTACTTAATGCCTTCGTCGACAAAAAAGACAGCTACTATTCCATTCACCAGATAGGTAAGATGCTGAAGAGCTTGTGGGGTATTCTGTCTGTATTTCCTGTGACTGTAGAACATGACTTCATGCTTATTTTAACAGCTTAGCCAGAAAATAAGAGCAGGGCAACTAGTATGTGAGATCATACTGCTTTTACTGATATCATACTGTTTTTTGACGTGATCTAGACCACTTTGTATTACAGGTTACGATAGATTTCTGTGTGGACTCCATGAGACCTTTATGTTTATCTAATGCTTTAGGCTGCGTTCAGCATCACATTCCTTGCCTTGGTTAACTAAGATAAGGTAAAAGGATCTAGGTGATGTTTTCTGCAGGATTTGGTAATGTGAAAAGATTGCTGCATGAAGAAGTTCTCACAAGTGGTGAGTGAACTAAGAAAGGATCTAATTTTCATACCAACTTTCCTGGTAAATAAGAGAGTTTTTCCTATAGGAAAAGGTACCTATAGGTAAAGGTTTCCTATAGGAAAATGTACCTACAATTTTTAGGAGTGATTATGGAGGTGTTCCTGGAGATCCAGCACTCTAAATAAAACTTCTGAGGTAATACTGCTTGTTGGACTTCTGCATCATAGATTTTTGGGGGAAGGTTTGCTTTATGATCCCCGAGAAATTGTTTTTCTTCTTTCATTTTTTGAGTAGATAAAGGAAATCATCCTTTTTGAAGGTCGTAATCATAGCATAATTTAGGCCTCCAGAGCACCACCCTCTCAAAGCAGAGAACTCAGCTTCAAAGCTCTGTTGCTCAAGTGCTTGTCCAGTCTTGCAGGTTTTACTTCAATAGCTTTTTGGCTGACTGTTTTTATAAGTTTTATGAACTTCCACACTAAGCCACCTTGTGAAAGGGTAGCTTCTACTGACCCCAGAATGTTTCCAAATGATATTTTGTCCCTATTGAATACAAATACTCAATAACACATTGAGAAGAGTCAAAGTGAATATGATAACTTCCTAAATTAATCACTTTTTAATTTTTTCTTTACAATGCAGCCCAGATGGGAGTTGGAGAGGGGAAATCCATAGGCCAGTGGTATGGACCAAACACAGTTGCACAAGTGCTCAAGTAAGTGCTGGGCTTTTCTTTTTCTTTTGAGCAATGAAGTTGGAGTCATTTGGTCTGTAATACTTCCTGGCCTAAAGGCTCCTGCCTGTTGGATGAAGCACAGGAACTTTAAAACAGCCCTTCTGTCACTCACATATGGGCAGGAGGTGAGAGAAAACTGGAGCAGTGTTGAATGGTGTTAGCACCTTTTGACCTTATCAACCCAATGGGACAGGAACTTTAAAACAGCTCTTCTGTCACTCGCATATGGGCAGGAGGTGAGAGAAAACTGAGTTCAAGGTTAGGACAACCCCTGAAAAATCTCTCTGTGCCCCACAAATTGCATGTTTGCTGCTGGAGCTGAGTGCAGCGCTGCTTGTGACAGACCAAGCAACTGTCAAAGTAGATAGTCACTGTCATTTGGATCTGTGCTGGCTTCTCTGGTGGCAGGCAGAGGATCAGGACTGCCCTTAATAAGTGGTACATGGTAAAACCAGTCATTTTGGGCCATTTTGGTCACTATGCTTTCCTTGCTTTTTCTCATTAGATGAGCTGGGAGCGCCCTGGTATGGGCTGTGATTGCCAAAAAGCATTTCACCCAGAATCTGCTGTAGGCCATCAGGGTGTATTTGGAAAGGCCTAATATTTCTGGCAACCACCAGTTAAGGGATTTCAGGATTTTAATCTGGGCTATTTTATTTAAGAACTGCCCAGAGACACATTCACAGGTGTGATCTGTTTGCTACCTCTTTATATTTCTGGCCCCCATAACTGGTGACAATGGATTCTACAACTCCAGGACACATATGAAAACATACTTAAAGCACAACTGATGAAAGCCAGTCTCTCCTAATCCATTTTCTCTGGTACAACACCATTTTTGTCTCATATATTGTAACAAATCCTTACTTTTTCTTTTTAAAAACCCTTTTTCCCTAGAAAACTTGCTACTTTCGATACGTGGAGCTCACTGGCAGTGCACATAGCCATGGATAACACTGTAGTGATGGAAGAAATCAGTAAGTATCACACGGAGGTAGAACTGCCTTGTTGTAGTAAGAGGCCAGGGAAGAACAGGAAAGCATAAAGTAAAAGAGCACAGCAACCTTGAAACCCTGCCCTAAAGCTGTGACAAAGGGTGCTAAGAAAGTGCAGGGCCCGGCGCAAAGTTAAGGGTGAGATCACAGCAGACAGCAGCTGGATTTGTGTCGGCTGTAACGGGCAAGGACAGCTTGTCCTGGCAGTGCAGAGTGGTTGTTTTTCAAAGCTGTGTCTATCTGTTGCCAGTCTCAGCTGAGAGGCCAAGAAACAGAAGAAGGGACTGAGCATAAGTGTTGTCTAACCTTAAGTACCAATCGTTCTGTGGAGCCATGTGCTGATGTCCTTGGCTTAAACAAGGGCCGGCAGAGAGAGGAATTTGATTTATTTTTTTGCTTTAGCCAAAAAGGCTACTTTGAGGCAAGGCTTGGGTATGCTGCAGGCTGTTGTCTGTGTGGCTCACACTGACTGTGCTGGTACCACAGTGAAGCATTTGGAATTTAACACTGTTTTCTACACCAAGTAAACTCATTTGCTGACGCTGTAATGGGCAGCTGCTCATCTCGAGGTGAATAGGAAGTGCCTGTTGCTACTGCAGGGAAAAATCATCCATATATTTATCCCCTCAGAGTCAGTCCACTGTATCCAAAAGGAGGTTTCAGTGCAGGTTTGGGGGATCCAGTGCATCAGAGAATGGGGAGAAACCAAGGTAGGTTCCCCTGTGCCCTGGGAAGATGGCACTGTGAAACCTAGTGAAGGAGCAGGATGAATTTAATCTGTGCCAAGCTATGTACTCCTTAAACTAGGCTTGAACATGTTCAGGTCATCAGAACAGGCAGCTACAATGAATAAACCATGATCTTTACTGTTTCAGTGCGGTAATTCACTACAGATTGTGGCTGTTTTTTGAAGATCCTGGCAACTACAGCATTTGTGTGTATATATAAATACATATTTGATGCACACATGCACATGTGGCTTCACGTTATGGGTCCTTTGGTTTTCTTTTTCTTGACTTCTACGTGCATGGACTCACCTAGCTAGCAAGTTGTGAAGGTGGCCAGTGACACAGGTAGCTTAGAGGTATTTTTGTACCAGAACTTACCAAACCTGGTTCTGTCACTTCCCGCCTGTGTGTTTGTCAAGCTGGAAAACTGGGATGCATTTTTTTTTTTTCCTATATATATATATTTTTCCCCGCTCCCGTTCCCTTTCCGCAGGGCGGCTGTGCCAGCCCAGCCTGCCGTGCGCCGGAGCCGCGGTGTTCCCGGCCGCGGAGCCGGAGCCGCTCTACAACGGGCACCCCGAGGAGGCCGGGGCCGGAGCGGGGCTCGCGCCGTGGAAGCCGTTGGTGCTGCTGATCCCGCTCCGCCTGGGGCTCACGGACATCAACGAAGCCTACATCGAAACACTAAAGGTGGGCGGCGTGAGGCTCAATTCCTGATGTCTTCATGCTTAAAGACCCCACTGCGAGCAAAGGCCTTTCTGGAATCTAGTTTCAGGGCAGAAATGCTCAGAAGCAACTGTCCTATTTTTCCAAAGAAAAAAGGCGTTTGGAGATTATTCTTCTGGAGGTCCAGATGTGCAGTTCTTACAGGGTTTAAACACAAAAATAATGTTTTTTTTAAGGCTTTAATCCAAGGCCCTGTCTGCATAGATGTGGTATCAGCCTGCTGAGGCATTTGTTGCGTGCAGCCGCTGTGCTGTGCTTGGTGGCAGCCTGAACCTTCATGGAAGTTGGACTGCCAGAGTGGGGCTCCAGAGGTGGAAAGTGCCCTGCAGGCTGAGGGTGCAAGCTGGCAAGTGGGAATGACAGGAGGCTACGGAGTTCGGGGTGTATAGAGTCCGTGGCCAATTTGGGATGCGTGTTGTCCTGCTGCTATCAATCTCCCAGCTGTTTGGCTAAGACAGATCAGATAATTTGCCCTTTATTTGGTGCGTGGATAACACAACAAGACACAGCTTGATACGAACTGTTTCCGAAACAGTCGTGCCTTTGTGAGAGGTTGTGCGACTTGGCCGCAAGTCCCAGCCCTGCTCAGATAGAGGGTATTTGGCCACTGACTGCAGCACTGAGGACCTTGCCCACACAGCACAGTGGCTGGAATAGTGCTGCCTTCTCCATCTGGTCTACCTGTGTGCCCCAGTCACTGTTTTCAAGGTGGTTCTTAGCTGCTTCTTTGCCCTTTGAAGGCCCTGTGTTGCCGCCTTCAGCCTTTCTGGCAGAGCTTCTGTCCAGAAATGGCTGGTTTTGCTGCTAGAGGGTTTTTTTTCTTTTCTCTCCAGTGTCCCAGTCTTTCCTTCCCACTGTATTTTTGGATGTTTGCTCTCGTTGCCCCTTGCTGTCTCGTTGTCTGTCAGCTGTGTGTTTTCTGCCTTGCCTTTGCAGCACTGCTTCATGATGCCCCAGTCGCTGGGAGTGATTGGAGGGAAGCCCAACAGTGCTCACTACTTCATTGGCTATGTAGGTGAGTGCTTTAAACCCTTCGGAGAGAGCCACAAAGAGTTTCCAAGCATCTCCCCCCAAATCCCCATGTGGAAATGCTCGTGGGCCACTACAGCTTTCCTGCTTCCACTGCTGGGCTCTCCCTTCCTGCAGGATCCTGGACCGTGCAGCATGGAGCAAATGCCATAGTGCAAGCCGTAAAACTTGCACCGTACAACCCTAAATCCTATCTGCACAGGGACCTCTTTCTAGATTGAGAGCTGACCTCCCTTCACAGGACCTTGGAGCTGTCCCTTAGGGGTTACCTTTCTGAAAACCTACCAGCTGTCACCCCCTTTTTCTCTCTGAGACCCCGAGCTGGTTTGGCTTCTGATTTCTGGGACTGAGATTAGTATTTACAGGACCCTGGAAAGACTTGTGCAAGAATAGTATCCAAATGGCGCATGTGCCTTTAGCCCAGACTGCCCCTGCAGAATGGGCACGGTGCTTTTGCTGACAGCTGGCCCATGCCTAGATAAGAAGCTTTTGAGGAAGCACCTGAAAGCAAGATGTCTCCAGAATGTGGATTTCTGAGCAGGGACTCTAGAGCTGTCCCTGTCATCAGTCTTCCTCTTCCTTGTATCTCAGCATTTGCTCCTTGGAGGAACAGCTTCTGGCATGGTTCTTCCGTTCATGTCTCCTTGCCTGTGTGTGCAGGGGAGGAGCTCATTTACCTGGATCCCCACACGACGCAGCCTGCAGTGGAGCCCAACGAGAGAGGCTGCCTCCCCGACGAGAGCTTCCACTGCCAGCACCCTCCGTGCAGGATGAGCATCGCCGAGCTCGACCCTTCCGTGGCGGTGGTGCGTCCCGCTGCGCGTTTCCACCTGCCACCTGCAGCAGGGTGGGCCCTTGGGGTCACAGCCCCTGCCTTGCCCGTGGCAGAGGACGGGGTGGCAGGTCGGGTGCTCCATAGGTGACCTGCGTTCCAGGCAATGCATTTCAGTTAAGTTTGGTAAAGGAGCTCCTCTTGTAGGAAGCAGTTTGGTGCAGCGAAATTCCCTTTGCTTGGCCACTAAGTAACATTCTCCATAGGTCTCCTCCTCCCAGGCCTCTTTAGTCTGGGTTTTGGTTGCTTCTGAAGACCTGAATCCAGTTGTGCCATTGGATTCAATTCAGTGCTTCTTGTGGAATCCGAGATGATTGTCCTGGGCTTATAACAGACTGTTTCCATCCAAGGTTCCTTCTGCCAGAGAGCTGTTATATTTATGCTTGCTTGGAGTAAGCCTAAGTACGTGCTTGGAGTCTGGTTACAGTGGGTCTATGGGGAGGATTCTGGTTTTAGCAGGGCAGTCCGTGGTTTAAGGAAGGCAGCTAGAAGTGATGTAAGTGCTTGCAGCCCAGGCCATGTTGCTTGGTGTTAACATAAGGCATTATGAACAAAATGATCAGTCTGTAATTGTACAAAGATAAGGATTTTTTTCTGCATTTTTTTTTTTAGGGCTTTTTCTGCAACACAGAAGAGGACTTCAATGATTGGTGCCAGCAAATTAGAAAGGTTTGTGTTCAAACATACCACTGTGGGGGAAAAAAAACATAGGTTTTGTGCTGCATGTGTAGTATTTTAAAAATACAACATTTTCTGTATCTTGATTCCTTTTTAAGAGTACAGCAATAATATCTTAAAGTGTGAGGGGGGAAAAAAATATAGCTCTGACATTCTGCTGCTGATAGAAATCAAAGATTTAAAAAATGTTTTTTTTTGAGGTGCACTGAAGTCCAGCAGATTGGTATCTCCTTTTAGGCTCTGGGCACCTTGAGAGAGGTGTCTGTTCTCACAGCTCTGCTCTTGCCCTGCAGCTGTCCCTGGTGAGGGGAGCGCTGCCCATGTTCGAGCTGGTGGAGCGCCAGCCATCCCACTTCTCCAATCCTGATGTTCTGAACCTCACACCAGGTAGGGCAACCAGGCAGGCAAAGCAAAGTGGGGAGCTTGTCCGTTTGGTTTCTTGAAAATGGGTGGAATTGCAGACTTCTGGCCTGTTCCCGTTTGGCCTAGAGTTTGATCTGGAGCATCTTAGGTCAGTTGACTTAGTTCTTTGGCTTTGAACAGATTTCAGTTTCTCAGGATTATTTTCAGGTTGAGCTGGCAAATGGTGACTGTGAAAAGCAAGTTCAAAAGCTGTTACAGTAATAGGAATCTACAGTTTCTGAAGGAATCCTTGGAGAAATTGTGAGAGTCCATTGGAAAGGCTGAGAACCACTGAGCTTCTGGGTACTGGAAACAGAGACAGCGCTGGTCAAATTTAGCTTCCTCTTGCATGTGCTACAACCAATACTTAGCCCTGATAATGCGACAAGGAGCAAGTGCTGGGCAGTAACTCTGTTGTCAGGCCCAGTTTATCATGTTAATAATGGGCAGGAACATTGCAGGAGATAGAGGCCCCTCTCAGCTTTTGCTGAGAGGAGTGTGGATAAACTTCCCTCAGAGTGGCAAGTGCCTTCTGAGAAGGAACAAGGGCTCATTCAATAGTTGGCTTCAGCTGAGTGACAGCCTCAGGCAAGTCATGAAACTACTTCTGCTCCCTTCCCCAACAATTTGGATCACAAGCAGCTCTAGCAGAAGCAGCCAGTACATCCCAGGGAGGTGATGCTGCCTTTTTTTTCCTTCTCCTGCAGACTCCTCTGACGCTGACAGACTGGAAAGGTTCTTTGACTCGGAAGATGAAGATTTTGAAATCTTATCCCTTTGAAAGCAAACAGGACCCTGACTCTGCAAATTTGTGTTACTGGTGGGGGAAGATGGGGGTGGGGGGTGGGAAGGGGAGCTCCTTGGAGAGCTTGGGGCTACCGGTTTCCATAGGCGCCTGCTGCCATCCCTGCCTCTTGCCCATCCTGGCATGCTGTGCAGCCTCTGGATGGAACGCGCGCTCTCCGCGTTGGGATGAAGAACCCGGCCGTGTTGGAGCCTTACTGGCTTGGAGTCGGGGTTTCCCAATGCTTGCTGGAAGTGGATGCAGTGGTGCCTAGGAGTTCAAAGCCTACATGTTACAGCAGCAGGTCAGTTGGGCTTCTGGAGGGGCAGCAGAAACCCTTAGAGAGCTAAATCCTTCAGTGGGGACTCCCCTGTGAAGCTTAAATAGAGCTACCCCTCATTTAGCAGGTGAAATGTACAGTTACCTCCTGCAGCAGCTTCTCTCCTTAGCAGCCAGCTCGGACTGTGCCTAACGATGCAAATTAACAGCAGACACACGTCACAGGCAGCCAGCTCCGGAGCCCTCCGAGCAGGGATGGCCGGGTCTCCTACATTATTTCCTTGTTGTGCTTTGCATAACAGCAGTTCCTTGCAGGTGTGATACTCCTTTCCTGCTCCCATCCTATCAAAAGGCAGGGGGTTAATTCAGGAGGTAAGTGGCAATTCAGTAAGTGAAAGGCTATCTGGGAAAGTGTGGAGCAGACTTATCCAACTGGAGAGGAGCATCATAAGCCCTATTTAAATAACAGCAGGAAAAAAAATGGGGAGAAAGTGGGGAAAGGGTATGTTCTTGCTCAGAGAGTCAATAAATGTTACAGTTCTGTGACACATTGACATCTAAGAAAGCATCTTCATGGAAGTTGCTTTAAGCAAAGAACTGTATTCCATGGCCATGGAAAAAAAAGCAGAAAGCAGAGGACAGAACAGGACAGCTAAGAATCTACCAGTCATGGAGCTCCTGTGTCCCAGTGTGGAGTCTTAACAAATTCATCCTGCTGGTTGCAAAAATGGAGGTTAATAAATTTCACCAAGTATCCTCTGTGGTAGGCTCAGCACTTCCTCCAACTCTTCCTTTTAAGTTACCCCCTTTCCCAAAGAGAAAAGGGCCTGAAGGTTGAATGGGCCTCCAAGCTGTGTTCGTACATTTAAATTTGCTCTTCTGGAGACTTGATATCTGCACAGTCTGTGCACAAATGTCCTCGAGGAACGAACCTGGAGGAATTCCTGTAAAGAGAACAGCCCTGTGATGTCAGCAAAGGCAGAAGGCCATGAAAAGGTCCAACATGCTTATACTGGAAACTTGAGTTACTTTTAATAGGTCAGGTCTGCCTGTAGTCCTTATCTGCATAAACAGAATTCAGGTAAAGATTAATTGTGGAGACAAGTCATCTTAATGTGAACTGAACAGAGTGGCTGGAGTATTTTCCTTAGTGCATGCTGCAGCCTGTGTTCTGTTTACAAAGCTTTGGTTTGTACGTCTGGGATCAGAACTTGATGCTTTTGTGCCCAAAGATGCTGGCGACGGGCTAGAAATGACTTCTTTCTCTGTGACTGACCTGCTGATGCTCTTAACTGTCCCCACGCTGTCCAACTAGCAAAGGTTTGAACTTGAAACTGCAACGCTTCTGTCACTAAATTATTACTTGCTGCTTGGACTGCTTCTCCTCTCTAGTAGCGAGGGGAGGAGGTAGCAGAGGAGGTGGGGCTGTGCTCCATTCATCCGCTTTCACTTTGTATCTGAATAAACAAATCTAAAACCTTTTGTCTTTCCCCGTCTTCTTGCACACTGAGCGAAGGTGGTGGAGGGGGCTTACCTAGTAGCCCTGCAGCTCAGTGCTTTTTACCTTTTTACAGCAAAGGTAGATAGAAGTTGAATTACATGCAGTAATTTTAATCTTTCCTTTGGTGCATTTGATGGAATCCAGGCTGGGTGCCTGGGATTGCAGCTGGTGATAGCAAAGTGGCTATTTCTCACCCAGGAGGGTGAATGTTCTCAGGTTTGTCCTTGGCATGACAACATGTCCTCTGCATGCAGTGCCTGTGTTCACCAAGATTGCCACAGGAGGAACAGAAGAGTATATGGGCTGGACCATGAGGATTTGCTTGGCAGCACTTCCCAGCACTGCTGCAAAATCTTGGGCTGACAGGGAGGAAATGCCACTTCTGTGGTGCTTTTCACCTCAAAGCTAGGTGAAATCTTAAAAGAATAAACCTGGAGCACTGTAACAACATAGAGTCCTCTGTGAGCAGCTCAGCATCAGCCTGCTTCTGAGCATAGCTTTAGTTTCTCAGAGGCAGGACAGGCACGTTGGGGAGTCTGTTATGCATCTATCAAAGGGTATCAGGAAGAAAAAAAAGCCCAGAAGCAGCAGAGATGTTCAGAGTAGGTTTTCACAGGCAAAACTTCTGTTTCCTTCAAGACTGTAGAGCTCCTGTTTAGGTGTTCAACAGGCACCTTTTCCCAGGGTCTGCTTCTTTGATTTCTAGTAGCCTTTTAAGCACACGGCTGAAGCAGAAAAGGTTGCAGATTTATTTTTGCAGTCAGCTCAGCATCTGCCTTTTCCTCTTTTGCCACATGACACCAACACAGAGCACTTCAAGCAGAGGACTCCACTTATTTCGTGTCTGTACATTTCATGTCTGTACTTTCCTTGTCAAGCCTTCAGTGTAAGGACAGCTCAACTGTACAGGCCTTCCTGCAGCATGTTAACATGTTGCTGATAAAGGTTAGCTCCACTAACAGGTATTACTCTCTTTTTAGAATCAGGAACCTGAAGGGAAAGATGAAGTGACTTCTCTAAAGCTTGTAGAACTTCTGGAACTGAAACCGAGGGCCCCCTTCAGCCTGTTAAAGGGGTTCCCCTCCTTCAGAAGGGTTTCTGCCACCGCACAAACGTGGAGCAGAGGCAGGAATTGACACCCCTGCAGCTGCTGTTTGCACTGACCGTTCTGGATGAGGCATTTACCTTCCTCACGCTCTGGTGCATCAGTCCAGTCAAACTCTCTACATTAGAGCAAGCTCTAGTTTCTGTCTGGGCATATCACTATGTCTCAATTGTTTAATTTATGCCTATTTATTGCATTTTTATTGAGGGAGACTAAATATAATCAAGTATCAAACTTGTATCACCCTTTTAATTTTATAAATCAGAGTTTTATAATGGAAGCTATCCAAGAAATATCGCTTTCATGTAATAAACAGAATGGTACAGCCCCATGAAGGCCAGCAAGGTCAGACTGGGTAGATGCTCTGGTTTGGCAGCCTGTTTTGAGCTGTTTACAGTGCACATTCAGTCCTTATAGGTGTCACTGCTGACTATTTCCCTGATCTTGGCCACATTAGTGACTTCACCAGTGTAAACAAGTCAGGTGGAACTCACCTGTTGAACCGGTCTGACTACAACCTAATGTATCTACTTTGGACTCTGATTTAGTATTTTGTGCTTGCTAACAGCAGTCTCATTCTCCTTGAGCTGGGGACCAGACTGGGAGATGAATTAATCTCTCTTCTGTTCACTCTGCAGTTTTAGTGACCATAGCTCTCCCTGGATTTAGGGCCTGAAACACTGCACCTTCACCTCCCATAAATCTTCCTAGAAGGAGGATCATGTTCAAAAATGCACTTTTACTTCTGTTAAAAAAATTTATTGCTCCATTTTAAAAAAATAATGTATTAGCAAGTCCTCTATAAACTGGTTTTGACACAATTGTTACATTACAGCAAAGAGGCAGAAGAATAAACAGGGCTGTTCTCTGGAATTTCACATGCAAGAAAGCTGCTCCCCACCTGTTGCTGCTTCCCACTTCCCCAAAGAGCTTTGGGCTCAGTAACCCTTATCTGCACTAGAGCACTGCAGAGAACAGAACAAGAGATCCAAGGTGAAGATTTCACGAGGAAAAAGAATGTACTGCTTTACAAATACAAAGGGGGCAATGCAGAATGGAGAGCCTGATAAAATACAAGCACTGTATAGGACATGGAAGAGGACAGGTGACCTGTGCTGTAGTTTCTGGGAGGTGTTGCAGGGGACATCCTACCATGCAGGATCCAGGAGGTGTTTTCCCTTCCGCACCCGCAGTAAGAGCCTCCATCGCGCTTTATTTCCAGAGTTCTCCCAGGGGTTTATTCTGAACGTCCTGTATGATTTTCTCTGCAACAGACTTAATTTCTTTGTGCAAGTTGTCTATGCTCTTTGAAGCATCTACTGTCTGTTTCCAAAACAAAATCAACATTTTAGAAACACAATCCTCATTTCCAGCACTAAATGAAAAAGAGAAGGCAAAAAAAAAATCTACTTCCCTCAACTTCACTTATTTCTGCTCCATGCTTTATTTAGTGCCATTACTCTCCATGAGTTATGCCAGGAGCTAATTATACCTCTTATGCCATGTTTGTGCTGTAAAACTGGAAAACCTTTTCTTATTTAGCCATAGGCATTTAACAAGTCAACCCAGGACCAAATGAAGGGAAACAGAAGAAACTGCTTATGCTGCAGGCAGTTTTCTGGCATTCTTTGAGTTCTGTAACCTAAACACAGATAAATGCTCAAACTAGCACTGGAGTCCCACTGAAAAATTACACATCTGCCTTCTGTGATGTGATCATTTGGCAAATCTTTGTCCATTTCTAGTCTTCCGTGACTAGTAATTTAGCATTATTAGGCAGGACTCCCACTTTTATGTCTGCATGAAACTATAGAGCGTGGAAGAAAACTTAACATATTTAGAGAGGGTTTTTTTTTTTTTTTTTTTGACTAGTAATTTAGTATTATTAGGCAGGACTCCCACTTTTATGTCTGCATGAAACTATAGAGCGTGGAAGAAAACTTAACATATTTAGAGAGTTTTTTTTTTTTTTTTTGTATTTAGCCAGCAAATGCTGATGGAAGTTGGCCATGCGAGTGATTGTCACTAAAGGGGCATCAAATTGCAGGCAGCCCTCAAAAAATTTCAAGTTTCTAGAGTCCATGGCAGATGCTCTAGGATCCCAAGGAAACAGAGGCAGGGAAGAGCTCATGCATTGCTCACTGCTTTCTATCTTGATTTGTTCTCCCCAGAACAGGGCCCACCTAACACCTCCTCACCTTCCAGTTTAATGTCTTGTCCTTCATCAGATGGTGGAAGGACCGCAGAACTTCCTTTTGGAAGGAGCTGTTCTCATAACGTTCATTCCCAAAGTTCCCTCGCACTGCTGCTTCCTCCGGACTCAACTCAAGAAACAGAATCAAATCTGGCTTTGGGAGTCCAACATCAGGTTGTCTGCACCAGTCCAGGCAGAAATTCTGTTCCAGGCAAACAGAACCAAGTTCAAGGTTAAAGAAATAAAGGAGAATGAAGAAAAGAAGCAGGATAGTAAAAATGCAAGGTCTGGGGAGGAACAACCTGAAAAGACACAGACAAAATAACTAAGTCAGCAGAGACTTACAAAGTCACAAACTTGGACATCTCCTTTTCATCAGGGAATTTAGTCCTAAAAAAATTTGGAGGGATAGTTTTTTTCTAGGTGCTCTGAAATGCTTTTCTTCACTGAGGTCAAGGAGCACTAATGATATTAACACTTCTGCTAAGTAAACCCTTAAATATTTAGAAACATTTTCAGGTCTCCATGAAGCCAAAACTAAATCGGTCCAAAAGAAAGCTGCTGCCATACAGAAATACCCTGCAGTTTTAACGTGGATTATGGATCTCCCAGGGCCCTCCTTTATAAATAACCTCGCCTGCATTTTCAGAGCCTGCCTACGTTTTTCAGCCCAGATGCTAAGGACAAAGCCTTACCATCTTTCAACAAGATCCAAAAGTTAAAACTTCCCCTGAAACATGCAGATCCAGAACACTGCAGTCTCTTCAGGCTCATCTGACCCTGTGACACCCACTGCTGCTTTTCCATGCAAGCAGAAAGCCAAAATCACACATCTTCCAGCAGGAGGATCCAGGGAATAACAAACTGCTCAGCCTGACATCAGCTCCTGGGAAGGTTTTAGAGCAAATTCTTCTACAAAGCTGTGTGCAAGCACATGAGGTCCAAGCAGACAAGGGACAAGGTGATTGGGAGTAACAGCAGGGATTTATCATGGGCAACTTCTGACAGCAAAATGACTGTATACTTTGACTTGAGCAGGAAAGGAACTGGATAAGCGGACAATATTTTATTTTTTTTCTTTAAAAAGCAAGACTGCTGGACTCAGAGCACAGTGGTCAGCAGTACCAAATCTGACTGGTAGCTTGTTACTACTGGTGTCCACCAAGGAGCAGTACTGGGACTAACGACCTGAACGCTGAACTCTGGAGTAAGCTCAGATTGGCCACCGAGGTGCTCGGGGTACAGACCCCAGGGAGAGGCTGAGGGAGCTGCATTTGTTCAGCACGGAGAAGAGGAAGCTCATGGGGATCTTGCTGCTGCGTGCATGACCCAAAAGGAGGCTGCGGGGAACATCTGCCTTCTGCCTTGTCTCGGGCATGAGCAGGAACAGGATGAGAAGCAACAGACCCGTAGGAGCACATGAGACATTCTGACTCAACAAGGAATTTTTGATTGATTGGTTGTTTTTTCCTTCACAACGAAGGCAAGCAAAAACTGGACAAAGGGCCCAAAGAGGTTGTGCACTTCCATCTTTGGAGATATTACAGCCTTGGCTACACGTGCCCCTGAGCAGCTTGCTCCAAGCTGGACTTCCTAAGGGCAGAAGGTTGGACTGGATGACCTCTCAAAATCCCTTCTGGCATGTGTCATTCGATGACCCTGTATCCTATTTGCCAGAGCAAGTGAGGCTGGAGAACCTCAACTAAGTCTGCCTCTGCTGAGTCTTGCCCCAGAGCCCAAACAACCCCACTTCTGAACAGTCAAGGGCCTATCCCAGTTTGCAAGACATCATTTAGCTTCGTGTTTCCTCTACTCTTTCTTGGGAAGGGCATGGGCACAGGCAAACAGGCTGAACCTCCCCTGAACCTCCCACCTCTCCGTTCCAGTGCACAGGAAGAGCCTGGGTCACCTCTCATATGAGGCCTCAACCCAGAGCTCCGTCTCCCTGAAGGGATTTCCCTGCTGGATTTCTCACTCACCTGCTTGGCACTTGTGAAGGCCACTCCGGAAAAGGCGTATCTGTCCACAACAAGTGTGATCCCTTGGTGTAATTTTTCTTTCATTAGTGGCCTGAAAACCACAAGTGAGGAAAAAAAAAGTGTTAAAACTCCTTTGTAGATAAATGGAGTTAATCATTTTTAACTTCATCAGAAGCAGTGCTCATTAACCTTGTTAGGTTACACAATAATCAGCAAACAGCTGCTAAGATGGGATCGCAAGCTAAATATCCAGAAACAGCTGGGGCCTCCTCTCTACGCGGTGACGCTGCTTCCATCCGACTGGCATCCGCTACCACCCACGAGGGAATTTACCACAGCTCACTTGCCTGCCTGGTATGTTCCCAGCTTGCTTAGCACGGGCACTACAGGGAGATCAGCAAAGCTTTTTCAGAAACCAGAGGAAGAGGAAAAAACCCCTTTGGCAGTGTAACCTTCTAGGTACACGCAATGGCGAGGCGACAGCCGAAGCGACGCTGACGCTTCCCCTCTCTTCGTGGACACCCAGCGGGCGCTGCTCGCCCCACGCGCCCTTAAAGGTGTCGTGTTCTCTAGGCAGCAGTATTTAGGGAACTTGGGTGGCCAGGGTATATCTAATGAAAACGAGGAGTTGATTCATGGCCCCGGCTGCTCAACTCTCCACTACGCCAACCAGAGCCCTTTCCAGACAGGACTGCAGGATTTGGCTGGAGAGGAACATCGGGGAGCCCTCGAGGCAGGAGGGCAATCAAACAATCAGGAAACACCCTGGGCTCCAGCCCGCCCCCGCGCCCCTCCGCCTTTACACGTGTTCCCAGCGGTTGGCCGAGAAGAGCAGGTGCACGGCGTGGTCCTCCAGGCTCTTCTCCCGCCCCAGGTAGGCGCCGAGCAGCCGCCCGAGCTCGGTGCTCCTCTCTGCAA